CCTAACATCAAATTCCTCAATTCCCCACTAACTTCCACCCACCCCAGCTAGCTTAATATATTATTTTTAAATATCTAAATTAATTAATAAAATAAATGTAACACTCGGGTGTGTTAAAAAAAAAAAATAGATGACAGTAAAATGTGTACCCTGCCAATTGATCACTGTAGTCAGTGATCAATTGGCAGGGAAGGGGTTAATTTTATTAAAACAGGGGAAAGAGGGGGTGGGATTTAACTTTATTTATTTTTTACTGGTAGAAGAGTATCAGCACTGATCCGTCTCCCTGCACTTCACAGTGAACCCGGAAGCGCAGGGAGGCGGATAGTGAGTCCCTGCAGCACATGTGCTCGCTCTGACAGCCCAGGGGCAGCGCGATCCAGTGCTCCCGGTCTGCGTCAGATACCGGGTGAGTGTTAACCCCGCGATCGCAGTGATCACGGCGATCTGTGGTTAACATTTGTAAATGATGGAAATTTTTAACTGAAGGACAAGGTTGACGGAAAATTTTCATCTGCGGTCAGGAAGGGGTTAAGTATCCCTTTTTTTTTATGCTTCTTCAGTCTAATTTTTTAACTTGTTGTCGTCATGCCTACTGTGACAGACCCATCTGTATGAACTAGAACTGCTGTGTTCGTCTGTTTTGCCGTTTGTATGAATTTCCCCATTCGTATGCCTTGTTTAAGGGAATGTATTTTTTTTGTCGAACGGAACTACCGAACGGACGGCCACCCAGAAGAGAAGTATGCTGCTGGTTAACCTATTGATCCCAATTAGAACGTTGCGGTTAACCACAGACACGTCTCAATTAAAACCGAATACAGGGTGGTCGTCGTTCATATGTCGACCACGAGACGGCTGCCATTTTAACTATGCGAAAGCCCAGCGGTGTAATAGACTTTGACTCCATGGCGATTGAACTATGCGTATGGGATCTGAGCACTATTCGCCAAGAATATGCACTCAGATCCAGGCTATCTGGGGATGTTTTATACGAATGCAATACGTTCGGCAGTTATAAAGTTATGTATTTTAATGTGTTTTGTAACTTTGATTTAAAATGGCGATTTGCCTCTGCTCTGGGAGATAATTGAATTACTTCTCAATTATCTCCCGAGCAGAGGGGAGGAAACTGTGTTGCATGCTGGGAATATTGTGGGGTTGTATGTCTGAAATGTCCCCATGTCCTTCTGTTATTCCAGTCTCCCATTTGGTCCCCTAAGGGAGTGTCCACCAAGTGGGAGACCTGCATAAATACGGGCAGTTAGCCCACAGTAAACTCAGTTCGTGTTTTACCCTCAAAGCGAAGCATGGTCTTGTTATTGGGGGGATTTTATTACCGGCGACTAGAGACTGCTTATTGGGATTATTTGCCGCTTGGAAGATATTGGCGTTCGGCTAATATTGGCGTTTCGTGTATTTAGAGCTCGTGAAGTGAAGGAGCCGTACAGGTACCATTCAGGAGTTTGGAGTGTTCCCTGGCTAGCGGTTCACATGATTATACTGCATACGCTAGCAGACCACATTATTGCGAACGGGGAGCATTCACTAAACGGCGGTTTGTGCATTTAGTACTGGATGTACCGTAACACCTACATTCTGGAGGCCGAAAGGGCATTCCAGTAGATAGATTACATTTTTACTGTCACAACTGATAAAATCTTTAATTTGGTATGTTTTATTGGTTACATTTGATTTAAATAAAGTAATTCTAAATGGGATAGAGAATTCGATATTTCTACAGATTAAACATTTTTTATATTTTTAGAAACCACTGGTGTTTGGAAAGTAAGAAGAAGAGATTACATTAGATTTGTCTTCCATTGTAACATTTTTGGTTAAAATAGACTTAAAATTTTGGGCTCCTCTAAAAACAATGTTGGGTTTATCTGGTATAATATAATTAAGTATATAATCTTGTTTCAACATATGCCAGTGTGTTTTAATTACTCTTTCTAATGCTACCCCCACCTATCTATCCTTCTTAATACACAACAAGTATGACCCGTCAAGGATCTGCCTCCTCCGTTAGATGCTCACCAAGTCTCAACTCCTTTAAAAATATCATTAAAAACCCACTTCTTCATAAAAGCGTATCAATGAAACTGTTAATAGCTCCCGACTGATACCTCTCTTGCAACTGTCATTAGTCTAATACTATCTTTACCGTCTGTGTGTCACTTTACCCCCCTTTAGCATGTAAGCTCATTGAACCCCTCTCAACACCTCTGTTCCTGTGTGTACAACTTGTCTGGTTACAACCACATGTTTGTTCGTCCACCCACTGTAAAGCGCTGTGGAATTTGTCAGCGTTATATAAATAATAATAATAAATAATAATAATTGTTAAAATTGAAAATAACAGGTAGAGATATGTTGTTAGTGCTAGTTTTCTTTTTGTATGTCAAAAGGTCAGTCCTTTCTTTTTTTCTTGATAGTTTCTATAGTATTGTTAAGATAATTGGGTGAATAGTTTTTTTCAATAAATTTGTCCTTTAAAAATTGGCTTGTTTAAAATCTTGTAATTGGGAGCAATTTCTATGTAAACATAGAAATTTGCTTTTTGGGGCACTTTCAAACCAGGGTTTGTAATGGCTTGTTCGATTGCAGTGTTAACATACTTTTTTAAAAAAAAAGGTTTTAGTGTGAATTTTGTTGTCTTTAATAAAAATATTGAGGTCTAAAAAAGTGATGGATACTTTACTAAATTCCTATGACAAAATAATGCCTCTGTTGTTGTCATTTAAATAGTTAATAAAAGAAATAAGAACACCTTCTGTTCCCTCCCAGATAAAAAAATAGATCATCGATGTATCTAAAATAGGTAACCAGGTTTGCCAGCCAAGCATGCCCTCCATATACAGCAGTGGACTCCCAATCTGTCATTAATAGATTGGCATAGCTCTGGGCGAACCTGGTCCCCATTGTTGTCCATTTTTTTTAAAGATAAAATAAGTTGAGAAACCAAAAATATTGTTTAAAATAATATTTATACCTTCTAATATAAAATCGATTTGAATTTTTGGAATTCTATTTTCCTTAGTTAAAATATTTTTTACTGCCTGACATCCTATGTGGTGGGGAATAATAATGTAAAGGGACTGCACATCACATGTAATTAAAATGAAATTGGGTTGCCATTTAAAATTGTTTAAAAAGTGTAACAGTGTCATAGAGTCTTTGAGGTAGGATTTCATTAGTTTCACGGAAGGTTGGAGAAGTATGTCAATATATTCTGATAAGTTGGATAGAAGGGAGCCAATCCCTGACACAATCAGTCAGGCTGAAGGATTATCCTCATTTTTGTGTATTTTTGGTAAGAAATATATAACCGGAATGTTTGGGTGTTTTACGTTTAGGTAATTCAATTCTTGCTTACTTAAAATACCAGAATCTAGACTTTTATAAAAAAAAAGATAAGGTGCTTAGGGTCTTTGAGGTAGGGTCAAAAGGTAATTCCTTGTATATGTCAATGTCTTTTAATTGCCTATGAGCTTCTGCTATATACATATTGCTTGATAAAATGATAATTCCACTTCCTTTATCAGCAGGTTTGATAAACTATATCTTTATCCTCTTGTAACAGTTTCAGTGCATTACGTTCAGCATAAGTTAGGTTATGTGGGTTATATTTATTATTATTAATAAAGTTTAAATTAAAGGACTTTTAAAATGAGTTTCTCAAACATAATTAAAGGGGCAGATTGAAAATGGGAAGGATAAAATTTAGATTTTTCTTTCAAAGTAGTGTTGATGATCTGGTGGTCTGCTTGTGTGATAAGGTAGGATAAAATGTCTAGTTCTTTCTTTTTATCATTAAAAAAAAATCTCCTTAAAATGGCTTTGTGAACAAACTTATTTACATCTAAAAAGGCAGTTTAAAAAAATTAGTTGGGGCAACATTGAAGCCTTTGTTAAGAACGGATATCTGAGTGGCGGATAAGATTTTATTGGATAAGTTAAAGATGCCACAGAGTTTTGTTAGGAGTAGAGTTGAGCGAACCCAAACTGAAAAGATTGGGTTCATACCGAGCATTACGTTTTTTGGACCCCGGACCGGAACACGGACATATCACTGTATGTTTGGGTTGGAGTTCGGAGTTCAGCGATTTAATGAGGCGTCTTGAAAGGCTGCAGGGCAGCCAATCAACAAGTGTTTGACTCGTGTGCCCTTAGAAGCCATCACAGCCATGCCTACTAATGGCATGGCTGTGATTGGCCAGTGCAGCATGTGACCCAGCATCTATAGAAGCTGGTCACTTAGTATTAGTAAATTATTCCCCTACTCGCTATACCACGAGTAGGGACTTGTCTATTAAACAGTGAGCAGCCTGTGAGCAGCCTATTGACCCCCCCTGGCCCCCACCCTTGAGTGGCGGGTGGGGGCCCTAAATACCAATAAGGGGGGGACCTATTGACCCCCCCGGCCGCCACCCCTGAGCGATGGGTGGGGGCCCTAAATAACAATAAGGGGGAGACCTACTGTCCTCCCCCCGGCCACCACCCCTGTGAAGCGGGTGGGGGCCCTAAATAACAATAAGGGGGGGACCTATTGTCCTCCCCCTGGCCCCACCCCTGAGTGGTGGGTGGGGGCCATAAATAAAAATGGGTGGGACCTAATGTCCTCCACCCCGACCTACATCCCTATGCGGCAGTTGGTGGCCCTAAATAACAATAAAGGGAGGGTCCTACTGTCCTCCCACCCGACCCCTACCCCTGAGCAGTGGGTGGGGGCCATAAATAAAAAATGGGGGGGGACCTAATGTCCTCCCCTCAGATCCCCCCCGAGTGACGGGTGGGGTCCCTAAATAGCAATAAGGGGGGATCTAAGGTCCTCCCCTCCGACCCCCACCCCTGCGCAGCGGGTGGGGGCCCTAAATAACAATAAGGGGGTGACCTAATGTCACAGAGCACTCTGATTGGTTACTTAATCCGCCAATCAGAGTGCTCTGTGTCATTTTACACAGCGTGAGAAAATTGCAAGAAACTTTCCCATGCTGTGTAAGATGACACAGAGCACTCTGACTGGATTTCGAGCTAACCAATCTGTCTGGTTAGCTTGAAATCCAGCCAGAGTGCCCTGTGTCATTTTACACAGTTCCAAAGAACTTTCCCACGCTGTGTAAAATGACACAGAGCACTCTGATTGGTTACTTAATCCACCAATTAGAGTGCTCTGTGTCATTTTACACAGCGTGGGAAAATTCCAAAGAACTTTCCCACGCTGTGTAAAATGACACAGAGCACTCTGATTGGTGGATTTCAAGCCAACCAATCAGAGCGCTGTGACAGGTAAATGTAGATACTTACCTGTCAGTCTCTTCATTTACCTGTCAGAGCAATCTGATTAGATTGCTTAAACCCACCAATCAGAGTGCTCTGAGCCTAACTGCAGGGCGGGGCAAGGCTTTATAAGCCTTGCCCCGCCCTGCAGAGCTCTGTCTGCGCAGAGCCCTCCATGGGTGAAGAAGGATTATTATTTTTTAGTGCTTTTTTTTTTCTTTTTTTTTAACTGCGTCGGTTATTCTGGATTTTTATTTGCCCTTTTTTGGGGCTGAAAAAATAAGATTTTAGAAGAAAGAAGACATCAAATGGTAAGTCTATTTTTTTTTTATTTTTTTTTTAACAGGTATTTAGACAAGGGTCCCCCATCATTATTTTTAGGATGAGGTGGGTAGATAGGGGTAATTTTTTGGGAGAGAGGGGGGTAACTAGGGTTTTTTGGACCCCTAGTCACCGGGGGCGATTTTTATTTATGGCCACCACCCAACGCTCAGGGGTGGGGGCTGGGGGGGAGGACATTAGGTCCCCCCCTTATTGTTATTTAGGGCCCCCACCCGCCGTGCAGGGGTGGGGGCCGGGGGAAGGACCTTAGGTCCTCCCCTTATTGTTATTTAGGGCCCCCACCCGCTGCACAGGGGTGGGGGCTGAGGGAGGACATTAGGTCCCTCTCTTATTGTTATTTAGGGCCCCCACCCGCCACATGGGTGGGGGCCGGGGGGAGGACATCAGGCCCACCCCATTTTTTATTTATGGCCCCCACCCACCGCTCAGGGGTCCCCCCTTATTGTTATTTAGTGCCCCCTCCTGCCGCGCAGGGGTGGGGCTGGGGGGAGGACATTAGGTCCCCCCCTTATTGTTATTTATGGCCCCCATCCACCGTTCTTTAGTGGGGGCCGGGGAGGACATTAGGTCCCCCCCCCCTGATTTTTCATTTATGGCCCCCACCCCCCGCACAGGGGTGGGGGCCAGGGGGAGGACAGTTGGTACCCCCCTCCACATTCTTATTTAGGGCCCCACATGTCGCACAGGGGTGGGGGCAATAGATTTTTTTTGCTCACTGTTAACCCCTTAACCCCTTAAGGACACAGCTTCAGAAGCTTGACTTATGCTTAATGACACAAGCAATTTTTGCATTTTCTTGCTGTTTGCGTTCAACTGCAATTTGCATCTCTCTCATTTATTGCACCGACACATATTATATACTGTTTTTTAAAGGACAGAAAGGGCTTTAATTTGATATAACATATATATATATATATATATATATAAATGCTTACTTATTATAAAAAAAATACAGAAAAATGCAAAAAAAATGAAAAATATTGTTTTGTTTTTTTACAGTTTTTGAAATAATAATGTGTGCATAATTAGTGCAGGTTAAGGAAAGTAATTAAAAATAAATTTATTTATTTGTTCTGATTTACAGAATGTATGATGTGTCTGGGATTTTAAGTTTGTTTTGGTAGTTACAGGTCACAAAGCACAAGGAGTAAAATAAACTTTTAATGTGGAGCGATTTTAGAATTTGGTATGTTTGTCTTGTAAGCTTAATAGCCATAAAAGAAAACAAAATTGCCACACAAAAGTATATATTTATGTAAAGTAGACATCACGGGCTATTTACCTAAGGTTTTTTTGACACTTTCTACGTAGCCATTTCACCGCCAACCTCTGCTAAATATTGGAGTAAAATTGTGTTCTTTTTGGTTTTTGGCACACAAACTTATAACAGAGAAATTCTCGTGTATATTTTGTAAAGTTGGTGTGTGCTACTCCTGTACAAAGTTTTATTTTGTGTTCAGTTACATCTGCTGAGTAAAATGACACCCCCATTGTATGTCTTTTGCACTATTTCGTGAAGTTACAGTGCCATACAGGATACCTGTCCTTTTCAGTATTCACAGTCGAATTTTGAGAGATGAATTTAATGAGCCTTAGCTTCCATTTGGGGTATTATAACAGTTTGACTGTTCAAAAAAACCCCACAAAGGCCTACCATTTGTAAAGGTAGACACTCCAGGGTATCTTATAAGGTGCATATTGTGCCTTAACATGCCCCCATTTTTTCACCAATATATGCCAAAGTATGTGGTAAAAAAAAATTTTGTGCATTTTTTACATACGGATTGCATTTTTGCTTGGCGTTTTGTATATTTCATATGTGCCACTAAGTTCAAACCCCCCAAATTATGCTCAGCTAAGTCTTCTGAGTAAAATGACACCCCATATGAATGTCTTTGGCACTATTTCGTGAAGTTACAGTGCCATACAGGATACCTGTCCTTTTCAGTATTCACAGTAGAATTTTGAGAGATGGATTTAATGAGCCTTAGCTTCCATTTGGGGTATTATAACAGTTTGACTGTTCAAGAAACCCCCACAAAGGCCTACCATTTGTAAAAGTAGACACTCCAGGGTATCTCATAAGGTGCATATTGTGCCTTAACATACCCCCATTTTTTCACCAATATATGCCAAAGTATGTGGTAAAAATAATTTTGTGTATTTTTTACATACGGATTGCATTTTTGCTGGGCGTTTTGTATATTTCATATGTGCCACTAAGTTCAAACCCCCCAAATTATACTCAGCTAAGTCTTCTGAGTAAAATGACACCCCATATGAATGTCTTTGGCACTATTTCGTGAAGCTACAGTGCCATATAGGAGACCTGTCCTTTACAGTATTCACAGTAGAATTTTGAGAGATGGATTTAATGAGCCTTAGCTTCCATTTGGGGTATTATAACAGTTTGACTGTTCAAAAAACCCCCACAAAGGCCTACCATTTGTAAAAGTAGACACTCCAGGGTATCTCATAAGGTGCATATTGTGCCTTAACATACCCCCATTTTTTCACCAATATATGCCAAAGTATGTGGTAAAAATAATTTTGTGCATTTTTTACATATGGATTGCATTTTTGCTGGGCGTTTTGTATATTTCATATGTGCCACTAAGTTCAAACCTCCCAAATTATGCTCAGCTAAGTCTTTTGAGTAAAAATACACCCCAATGAATGTCTTTGGCACTATTTTGTGAAGCTACAGTGCCATATAGGAGACCAAGCCATATCCGTTTTTACCAAACTTTGAATTTTGACAATGGGCCTATGTGTAATTTCCAAGCATCTTCGCAGGTTTTAAATTCAAACTACCCCACAAAGGGCTACCATTTCTTAAAGTAGACACCCCAGGGTGTTTCAAAAGGTATAGTTT